AGGAATTATGTTCTGATTGGAACCAGGCTTTTAACTGCCATAAGACTTTTTGTCCGATACTGCTGTAGACTACAGTGTATTTGGTCTGCTTACCTGGTGAACTTTATGTTATTGTAACCTGTATTGTAAGAAATGGCTGTGTCTAAGGAATCCAGTTATAGCAAATGCTAAGCCCTGTTTCTAAACAATTTTATGTACGATGATGTTATCTTTCTTTTTGCTGGGGGGAAAGAAAAAGAGAGGGGACTGAAGTTTGTTTGGAAAGGCAAGCCAATCATTAACAGGGTCAATTATAAAAGAACTTAATCTTTACTGTAATCATTAAATTTATTGACCGCTCAGGGAAATGGGGTGATTGTTCTTCCTAGTTTGCAGATTTGCAAGTGGAATTAGAATTGAATCTCATTTTACTCCTGTATCTGCAGTGCCTATCTGGGTTCCTTGTTACTAGATATATGTACATTTTGCACACAGGCTATTTTAGCTCTTAATGAGATCATTTCCCTTATAAGCCTTATTTTGCTTCCTTTCTACATTGATCCTCCTGTTACATAGCATACTTGGATCTAAAAGGCAATCAGATTACCAGATCGACTAGATGCCTTGGCAACTTGGAAGATACAGATACAACCATATCCTTTCGGGAATATCACAACAGATTTAATGTGTGTTAATGAGGGCATAAAATAGATGATAACTGTTCCTCAGCTTTGCTATTTGAGAACAGATACAGCAGATGGAATAATAGTGTACCTCACTGTGCCTGATTCAGTATTGTTATTCAATAAAATTTGTTGAATTTGTTAGTGATTTTTTATCTTCTTTCCCCTCCACCTTATTTTGAAGGTTTTTGAGTAAATATCTTCTATTTTTCTGCCAGTTTTTTTACATCTCAGACAAAATAATGGAAATAAGAAAGTAAGACATCTAAATGATGGACTTAAGGCTTAACAGTAAATAAGACACTGTCATGTACTGCTAATAATAGTAATAAGTGGCTAACGGAACTCATTTTATTTCAATCTTAATCTCATTTCTGCACCTAGAGTAAGACCTTTATATATGTTCATTTCAGTCTCACAGTAGTTATGCAAGATAACTGCTGCTCTTATCTCAGGTATACACAGGAGATAAGGGAGGCATAGATTATGATATTTGTCCATGTTACACAGTTAAGTTCTAGAGATGGAACTGAAACCCTGGCAATGTAGCCCTAGAACCTTCTTAACTGTAACGCTGTACTGTCTGTCTCCATGGGCCAGGCCCTACATTGGGCCACTCCTGCATAACACAACTGCAAGGCAGTATGAATGACTAATTTATAGATAAGATCATTCAAGCTTAAAGTTATCAATAGCTTGCTCAAGATACATAGGTAGATAGTGCCACTCCTGAGCATTCACTAAAAGCCAGGTCCTTTTCCATGACTCCAGAATAAAGCTTGTTAGACTGACTTTAATTATGTTATCACAGACTGCCATTAGAGATCACGGGAAATTGGCTGCAGTGGGTTAAATGTTCTACAGCAGAAGTAGTAACAACATTTTGTGTTTATATACAAAATTTGAAGGCAGTTGCCAATATTTAAGTTCTTGCATGTATCCCCTCTATTGCTCAAAGCCTTACAAGACACATGGAAGGCAGAAATGGGCTTGTCCCACAGGATGAAAAGGTATTCTCAGAACTACATAGTAATCTAATTAAGTTACTTTGAATCCACCTGACTGATATGAAAAGACAGTTTCCATTAGGCCATGCTCTGTCACTTGCCTCAAGCAAATTTCAGACCTGGGTCAAAATCTAACAATAGAATGGACAGAATAATCATTTTCTCTTTTGATGGGCAAAGAAGTTATCAATTACATAGTGACTGCAAGAAAGACTTAGTGACTTAAAGTAGCTTTTTATAAGTAGTTTGTAAAGGTAATCTTGATTCACAACACCTTGTTTTAAATGTAGATGTTCACAACTCTAGCTGTATAGCTGTCATCAGACCATAATCGCCAACGAACCGCAATAATCCTCTACCTTGTTTTGGGCTCCCACCCCACCCATGTCCCCTCTGTGTTGCCTTAGTAACTCAACCAGATTTCAAGAATTTAAAACAATATTTTAAAACATTAAAAAAAAAACATTTCATGGTTTGCCTGAAGGTTTCTTCTGCTAATGTCGCTTGGAGTGATGTAGTTGCACTCATCTGATGGCAGAGGAAGGACAGATAGACCAAGATGGCCTCCCTTCCCTTTCTGGCGTTAGTGTTGGCAGCATACAATGTCTTCTACTAGACTAGCTCAGACTTCACAGCCTGGGAGTGTCTCAGAGATGTGTTCCAAGAAGGCAAGCTCAAATGTGGAAAGCACTAATTAAACCTTCCCACTTGCCATGTTAGCCAAGACCAGAGTTATGGGGAAAGGGAACATAAAAGCCACCTACTGGTGGGAGTAGTACAAAGAATTTGTAGTCATTTTTAATCCACTACAGGAAGCAAATAAAACAAAAAATCTAGACTTCAAACAACAAAGGCTAAGGTCAGCAGACATTTTTTTGAAAGCACCAGATAGTTAATATTTTGGTCTTGCAGATATTGGTGTCACTTCAAGGGAAAGTTCTTTGATGGATGTTGAGAAGTATATTACCACTGATGTTAAACCTTGCTGATTTATTCACCTTGCTCTTTGATAATACAAACAAAACCACCAAGAAGACCAGTTTTTCACTGGGCTTTTGGAAGATAGTTATGATTTGGCTCCATTAAAATGAATTTTTCTGCCTATGGCATAGCCAGGGGGTCTGAGTCTTTGTTAGTGGTAAATTTTCAAGTTACTGGTAATTGGATATTTGACTTAAATGGCCATTTATGTTATTAAACAAAACCAACAATGTCTTTAGGTGGTCATTGTGTTTGAATAGAACTTGAAATTCTCTGATACTTTTTACTTTCTCACAGGGCTCTTTATTTTCTGTCCCATTCATAATAGATTTATATTTTTTCTCTTAATCTACTTAAGCTTTCTGGTTTTATTCATCTGATTTTGTTTTCCATTTATATTTTATCAATTATTTCTCTATACTATCATTTGTTTCTTTTTTTGGTTATTTTTATTTTAAAAAAAGATTTATTTATGCATATAAGAATTGGAGCGTAGGCCAGAGGTGCAGGTGAGAGGAGAGGGGAGCAGAACAAGCAGATCTACTGAAATACATTGCTGAGGGGAGCAGCAGGTGAGGCAGTTGAGGTCTGCTGTGCCACATGGGTCAGCAACTTGGCTGGGGATCGAACTAGTGCAGTAGTGGCTGCCTCTAGCTTCATAGTGCTGAGACTTAATCCTTTGTGCCACCAGAGAGGTCCTGGTTATTTTTTATAAGCCACATATTTATTTTCTGTATCTGAAATTGAATCTCATGTGAAGTTTTTTTCCTTTTGATTAATTACTATATGACTTACATTGCCATTTTGATACAGTTCTTGATTTAGGGGTATTCAAAATCGTGCTACTAATAGTGTTCTTCTAAAGCAGAAGCTTTTGGGATATGGTTCAGCAGTCTGTGTTTTTTAATAAACTTTCCAGGAGATTCTGGCCATACTATAGTTTAATAGTCATTGGGACAAAGTTAAAAATTAAAGAGATTTTCAATTTAAAATTTACAAGATTGAAGAATCCAAAAAGACATCTCAAAGTGAAAAGCTCCATAGGAGGAAGAAATACATGGAAGCCACTGGAAAAGCAATTTTAAAATGGAAATAATATTGCCAAAGGCTATAGAAAGTTTTAGTTACTGAAGGCCATTTGTACTATTAATATTTCACAAGATATGAAAGCCTCTTTTGGGAACCTCAATTGCTTACTGTAAAATGAATCTGGAGTCATGCTCTTTCAAACTTGTAAGGCCTTTGTGCGAATGAAATTAGTTATTATATATCAAATGTGAAACCAAATGATTCCAGAAGTATCTCATTCCCATACCATGACCATTAAATCTTAACGATAGGTGCTTTTGGATAACAATGTTTCCATACATTTGAATGAGTTAGGTGATGGTAGAAGGGTGATTAGAAAAATAGTGGAAGTTCACAGAATATCTCCTTACACACATGGAAGTTAACAGTGGCAGAAAAGGCAGGCCAAAGTCATTACAAAGGGCTGCTATTTTCCTGTTAAGAATATTGAGGTGACCACGGTAGGCAAAAAGCAGGAGAACATCACTATTGTTCATGTCTCTCAGATAACTTTCTGTAGTGTAGAAAATAAGGCTTAGAGTCACAATTAAGAGGGCTGGTTTGTTTTATGTTTAGGGTATGGTTTTGTTTTCATATTTGTTCTGGTAGTTTGAAAATTTTGGATATTATTGTAGTGGTCTAGAGGTAGATGAGGAGTTTCTCCTTTAGAGAAAGACCTCTTTAAGGGTAGAAGATGGTAAGAAGTTAAACCAGGTACATTTCAGTGGTAACAGAGAAGCTGGGGCAGATGGAATGATTTCAGGGATAGCATGGGAAATGTTCTCTGTCATTAGCAAGCTATAGGATTCTGTCTTCTTGTTACAGGACAGGGAGATAGACACCCCTGAATCCCCAAATCTACTTTTTCTAAATAGGTTCTTCCATTTGCCACATTAAGATGAAATATGTAAGTCCTTTAATGAAAGGAACTTTAATACAATTTGTGTACAATACAGAATAGACAATATAGTTTCTAAATCAGACACCCAAAGTTACCCATACCCTCGTGGGTAGAAGTCCACCCAAAAGGGACTGGCCCAAAGCAAGGCCTGAAAGCCCACCACAGTCTGGCGGGACCCATGGAAAAGGGCCAGAAATGGCCAAACAAGTCTGGGAGGAAAATCAAAATCAAGATAAATGCTGCTATAGTGAACCTCCCCAAGCGTCTCTCACCCACGTCAGTTTCACCCAGTCCAGGGACAAGAAACAAGAGCTGCTTCTTTACTTGTCTCTCTGCTCCATGTGGATCCCTCAGGTCACCTTCTGGCTCTCCATCCTGCTACATTCCTCCTTAGTCTCCTCTCCAGATTTTTCTCTTTCCTGCTCAACTCCAACCTCCTTTGGGTGGGGCAGGGAACACTGGCATATGGCTATACACACATCCGTTTGATGTCCAGTAGATAGACGTCTTTACAGTAGGATTCCTATCTTTTCATTTCTGTGTTGTCAAGCCTTTTCATAATCTAAATGAGTGGAAAATACGCATTCATAAATGACAGAAGATTAGACGTATCACACACACAAAGCATCAGCATTCAAACTAACCTTTTGGGGCAAATGATTTATTTCTAAAAATCATTCTTAAACTAGTCAACTGCCCATCCCAAAATCATTTTATAAGCTCGATTAAGTTTGTTCTGTTTACCTTAGCTGTCTATATCTAACACCTATGCACTGGGGAGTGTCCCAAGAAGACTTTGGTTAACATCCAGCACGTGGGAGAGTCCCATTCCTGCCATGTGAGGGCACACAACACAAGTACCCGGCTCGCTTCGGAACGCCAGACAGCCGGAACCAAAGCGCGGGTGCTCGAATTTCCGGGCGAACACGCGCGTGAGTTACGACGACTCGATTGCTTTTGCCTGGCGCAGGCCTTCTGGGCGAGGACCGCGCGCCGGGTTCGGAGGAAAGGCGCGGCGTCCTGGACGTCCTTTTGTGAGAGGGCGCTGGAGCACCTGAGACTGCCCTGGCCGCGCCGGGTCTGTTTAACTGAGCGACCTGGCGGGTGGAATAGACAAAGAATATTGACGAAGAATATAGAAGTTAAGACATGTTTGCACACGCGGTGAGGCGCGCCTTGCGCAAGAACAAGACCCTTCGCTACGGAGTCCCCATGTTGGTGAGTGCTGTGGGGTGAAAGAGTCGGCGCGGCTTTCTGGAAGCGGCGGGGACCGTGGTTCGAGCGGGTTGAGACTGCCTGGGTCTAATTTCAGGGAGTTGCACCCTAGCTAGGACGGGGCTGACCTTGGGTTGCGAGCTTTTAGGTTGCCATTCTAGTCTGTCTCGGACTCGCAATGGGGTCTCCAGTCTCCTCTTAGCTTACCTGTTAGTTACCTGTTTGAGCTTCAGAGGACGAATGTTGGAACCGGATTTTCATCCAGGTAGAATGATCACAGAACTTGGTACCCTCGGCTCCTCACCCCCGCGATTTGACGTATTTCTGGCTCATTGGGACTGGTGGAATAAAGTTAATTTTTAATTGTATATTTCGGGAGTCTTCATGGTTCACCTTTCTAGTTTGCGAATTGGCTTAACTCTTCCAGAGTTGTTGTTAGGAATTAAATAAAACCTTGTGAATTGAGTGTTTGGCACGCGACCGACCCCGTGTATTAAAATTTTAAAGCCTGTTGAACGTAGTTTTGGTGTTTATGTGTTTGTGTCCAGTTCTGTACTGAGTTCTCTGAAGATCCCTTCCGTCATGAAGATTCAGGTTGAGATTGATGTAAAACCCGACTGCAGATGGAATCCGGACAGCTCTCCCCTTATTTACTTCCCCTGATGAAACAATTTAAATAAAGCATGAGGGTAAAAGTCACTTTATATTAATAGTAAATACAGAATATTGTATGACTTTATTGATATGTGTATTCTACTGATGTGGATATTGGCACAAGTGAAGATACCAACTTTTGTACTTAAAAAGACAGCTCAAAGTGAAAGCTCCATAGGAGCCTGTATGAAGTACCATTGTTTTGCATCCTTCACAGTGTAGGATTTCTTCCTCAGGTGTGGTCACCTTAGCCCTCTCACCACCAAAGCACCTGTTAAGCCTGTATGCTTTTTCCATTTTCCTCCACTTCCACCCTCCTCCTTCCCTTTTAGTGCCCCACAAGGGACCATGTTTCAAAATATGGGCCCTAAATATGTGAATCATGTTTTTAGAGGAGAATGTTAAATTCATTACCCTAAAATCCATCACTACTGAAAAAAAAAAAAAAACTCCAAAGATCCAGCCTCTTCTGCACGTGTCAGCAAAATATGCCATAATTCCTATACTACATTTTTCTTCAAGTAGAAATTATTTCCTCTCTTGGTTTAACTGTTGAAATTCATAGTTTTTGTTAGTGATTCAT